ATATATATATGAGGCCCGGGTGGTGCAGTGGTTAACAGCTTAACTGCTAAACAAAAAGTTGGCAGTTTGAATCCACTAGCCACTCCTTGGAAACCCTGTGGGGCAGTTCTACTCTGTCTTATAGGGTCACTGGGAATCAGGATCAATTCAATGGCAATGGGTTTGGTTTTTTATATGTATATACATACATATATGTAAGTGTGTGTACATATATATGTATGCATATATATATATATACACTTACATATATGTATGTATACACATATATATGTATACATATAAATATATAAACACACACGTGTATTTTGGTTGTTGCAAAATTATATATAACATAGCATTTATGTAAACATCTTTTTGTGTTTGTGTGTGTGAGAGTGTATGTTCAGCCTCTTAGCATCAGTTATCTTGGTTAAGCTGTGCACACTTCCTCCATATTTGGTGCTTTTCCATCACCATAAATAAAAAGTGACTACTGTCTATAGAGTGAATTCTCCTGTCCTCCTCGCCCGCTCCCACCCCGGGTAACCACTAATGAATGTTGGTTTCTGTGTATATAGCTGTTCTTGTCACTTTATGAAAGTGAGATTATACAATAATTGTCCTTTTGTGATTGACTTATTTCACTCAGCATAACATCTCTAGTTTCATCCATGTTCCAGGATGTTTCAGAAACTCATCATTCTTTATGCCTGCATAGTACAGAGTAAGACATTTTTGAAAGTTGGATTTCAGATATTTGAATCATGTTGCTATTGTTAGGTGCCATCTAGTTGGTTCTGATCATAGCGACCCTATGTACAACAGAACGAAACACTGCCCGGTCCTGCACCATCCTCACAATCGTTGCTATGTTTGAGTCCATTGTTGCAGCCACTGTGTCAATCTATCTCGTTGAGGGTCTTCCTCTTTGTTTCTGATCTCTACTTTACCAAGGATGATGTCCTTCTCCAGGGACTGGTCCCTCCTGATAATATGTCCAAAATATGTGAGACGAAGTCTCACCATTCTCGATTCTAATAAGCATTCTAGCTGTAATTCTTCCAAGACAGATTTTTTCATTCTTCTGGCAGTCCACGGTATGTTCAATATTCTTCATCAGTACCATAATTCAAATGCATCAACTCTTCTTCGGTCTTCCTTTTTCATTATCCAGCTTTCCCATGCATACCAAGGGATTGAAAATATCATGGCTTGTGTCAGATGCATCTTAGTCCTCAAGGTGACATGTTTGCTTTTTAACACTTTAAAGAGCTCTTTTACAGCAGATTTGCTCAATGCAATACATCATTTGATTTCTTGACTGCTGCTTCCATGCTTCCATGGGTGCATAATACTTGACAACGTCGATCTTTTCTCCGTTTATCATGATGTTACTTTTTGGTCCAGTTACGAGGATTTTTGTTTTCTTTACGTTGAGGTGCAATCCATACTGAAGGCTATGGTCTTTGATCTTTATCAGTAAGGGCTTCAAGTCCTCTTTGTTTTCAGCAAATAGTGTTGTGTCATCTGCATATCGCCAAGTTGTTAATAAGTCTTCCTCCAATCCTGATGCCATGTTCTTCTTCATATAGTCCAGCTTCTCGGATTATTTGCTCAGCACACAGATTGAATAAGTATGGTGAAAGGATACAACCCTGACGCACACCTTTCCTGATTTTAAACCATGCAGTGTCCCCTTGTCTATTTGAATAACTGCCTCTTGGTCTGTGTACAGTCTCTGCATAAGCACAATTAAGTGTTCTGGAATTCCTGTTCTTCGTAATGTTATCCATAATTTGTTATGATCCACACAGTCAAACGTCTTTGTGTAGTCAATAAAACACAGATAAATATCTTTGTGTTATTCTCTGCTTTAAGCCAAGATTCATCTGACATCAGCAATGATAACCCTTGTTCCTTGTCCTCCTCTGAATCCAACTTGAATTTCATATTTATTACCTTGAAACATAAGATCTAATATTTATAGTTCCATCTCAAGACAATAAAAGTAGACAAGGTAATGGAGCAAGGAGATTTAGACAAATGACTTTTCTACATGGTGACAAGATTTTTTTTTTTTCCAGGCACCAAGTAATACCGATGAAATTGAGTCACCTGGAGGAGGTAGGAATTTGAGGACTGTCTTTGGTAAGTGAGTGCAATAATTACTTCTTGATTACATGTCAGCCTCTGCTCTACATGTAGCTGTATTTCTGTTCATGATGACTATAACACTGACTTGCTTGTTTATACCTTTCAAAGGAGTCCAAATCCATAATGTTTGTATATACATACATAACTCAAATCAATAAAACTAGGGCTGTGATTGTGTTCATTGAGTATTTGCTAATTTAGAGTGAGGCACATGCCACCACACTTAGCATTTTACATGATAGCTTATGGCTCTCTCCCCTGACTCCTCTAAAGAGCAACCTGTTCATCTTCTCAGTTAGGGAGAATCCATAGTTTTATGTGCCCTTGAAAAAGAACTTCACTACATAGAGAGTTAAAGTCATTTTGGTTAGGGACGGAGTTAAAACAGACCTACCAGTTGCGGTCAAGTCAGCTAGGATTCATGGTGACTCCATGTCTGTCAGAGTAGAGCTGTACTCCATACGGTTTTCAGTGGTTGGTGTTTTGAAAGTAGCTCACTGGGTCTTTCTTCCAAGGGTCGTCTGGATGCACTTGAAGCACCAACCTTTCAGTTAGCAGCGGAATGTGCTAACTGTTTGCACCATCCGGGGACTCCAAAAACAGACCTAGGTTTATGATTTCTGGACCTGTTTCTTAGCAGTGATTACAGGCAGGGGATGTACCTCAGTGGCTAAGAGCATGAACCCTGGGCCTAATCTGCCTCCTTTCACATCCAATGCCACCATTTACTAGCTATAGTATCTTGGGCAATTTACTTAACATTTGTGCCTCAGTTTCCTCTTCTCTAAAATGAGGATAATTTTACCTACATTAATATGTATGAAGTATATTCAAATAATGCCTGGCCCATAGTTATTATTATTATCCCCAGGACCCTGACTCTTTCTACTACTCTCCTATCCCCCCCTGCCCCCACAATCCTTGCTGCCAGCACTGTGACTTACATGCCTTGTTGTCATTTAGGTGACCTCTACAATCTGGACCCAGCAGAAACAACTTACTAGCTGTGTATCAGTAGTAGTAAGTCTGTGCACATAGCACCCATGTCTATTGAAGTGCTATTACTTCTGGCTCTCTGCTTTTTAGGCATATGGTAGAATTGCACTTTCTGCCCCGCCTTTGAGGTTCACTAGGCCCCATGACCAATTCTGACCAATGAGTTATAACTATCAGTACCAGTTTTGGGGAGTTGACCCCGACTCATGGCAATTCCGTATGTTTCACAGTAAAACTTCAATTTATAGCATTTTCATTGGCTGATTTTGTAGAAGTAGATCACTAGGCCTTTCTTTCAAGACACCTCTGGGTAGACTCAAACTTTCAACCTTTAGGGTAGCAACCAAGCACTTTAACCATTTGCACCATCCAGGCACTCCGAGTTACGACTAGAAGTGTTTAATTGTTGATATAAGATCTTCCAGCGCTCTTTCCATTTTCCACCACAACTCCAATGTTCCAGATTGTGACTTCTCCATCAACCTGATCCCAAAGTGAAGAGAAAGCCCATTGGTGCCCCCAGCTGATACAAAATGAACATGTAGGGTGAGTGAAAAATAAACTCTTGTCATTTGAAGCCTCTGAGATTTGGGGGTTTACTGCAGTGTAAGCTTACCTACCCTGACTGATACAACTACCACTGACTAACCTAGCAACAGAAGTATCTCCCTACTCCTACAGTGAGGAGAAACAGAGTTCTACCTTTCATAGCTTAACATTGGATAGCAGCAAGAAGTAGTTATATCTCTACCACTTCTTACCCGTATGACCAGTTACAAAGCCTCTCCAAGCTTTAGCCTTCCGTCTTTTGTATTGAGAGTGAATAGGGCCTTCCTCATGGGTTTATTGGATGGATCAACTAAAATAACGAGTATAAAGTATTTAGTCCATGGTCTCCTCCCAACAAATGATAGCTCCTCTTACCAGCACAGGGAAAGTTGACGAAGCCATGGCACCCCTCGCAAACAGTTTCCAGGACCTCATTATCTCTAAAAGGTCCAACTTTCCACTGTAAGTGTGTGCTAAAGATCAGCAGATAATTTGGCAGAATAGCCTAGTCCTTTGCTATGACCTGTTAATCCTCCTTGCTTAGAGTTTAGCTGTCACTTGGTCACTTTGCCTAAAACAAAGCCAGGCAGCTTGTTTGTACTCCCTCATGAGGACAGGAATTCTGGCTTGCACTACTTTGAATACCTGCTACTGCATCTAACACTGTGCCTTGGATATGTCTCCAGATTTTTATTTATTTTATTGCTTTGACTGGTGACTTAGGTTTAATTGCTGCTACACTGTCCATGAGAACAATGTGATCCCTCCTCCGACTCTGAGGGTGTGAATGTCCATGACTGGGTAACATGTGCCCTCATAGTGTTTAAAGAATGAAGTTCTGTAAGGCTGCATGGCCATCTGACATGAATTCCTGCACTGGGTGGGAAGTCAGTCAAGGTGATCTGTTTCCACTGGTAATTTCTGTTATGTGAACAAAGCAGGATACAAGGCTGTATATAAGGTGTATTCTCATATATGAAAATACCAAAAAACACCCAATACCACTGCCATGGAGTCGACAGCAACTTATAGAACAGAACAGAACATCTCCATAGGTTTCCAAGGCTGTAAATCTTTGCAGAAGCAGACTGCCACATCTTTCTCCCATGGAGTGGCTAGTGGGTTTGAACTGCTGACCTTTGGGTTAGCAGCCAAGTGCTTTAACTACTGTGTCACCAGGGCTCCAGTACGTTAAAATAAGGTATACAAAATAACTAGAAAGAAATGTTCCAAAATGTTAGCAGTAATTCCTTCTGGATAGTGAGATTATGGGTGATATATACTGTACTTGCCTTAGACCTAGGCAAGAGGTATTTTAGGGGGCTTCACATATCACAATTACACACAGATTTATAAAGAACACATAGGCATCTCTATCACTCAAGATCTGGCACTCAGAGAAGGCCCAGCACATCCCATGACACTTAACATCCATTGTTGTGACCACACTGCTTAGTCCCCAAAGAAACGCTTCTCCATATCTCTTGTTCTATATCTTGGAAAGAAAAAGTGACTGGATTTGAAAGCTGAGATGTATCATGGTTATGACTCTGCCGAGGTTGCTTTGGAATGCTTGGAGGATGTGAGAGGAGAAAAGTGCTGGGTTAAGAGAACAGTCAAACTTGTCAAATTTTTCCTCTAAGATAACGTGAATGCAATAGGCTCTTTCATGACGAAGTATCATTTTTTAATAATGCCAAGAGCCCTTTTTCTTGCTTCTTTTCTCCTTCTAATTCCTGGCTCACATGGTATTCAATTAACATAATATTCACAAAAGTTGCAAATGATGGCTTAGAAATGTTCTGCAATATTAACATTTCGTATTATTCTTAAATTTGTATATATGTATCAAGCATGTATCATGGTACCCATTCTTAATATTGGCAACTAGATGGACATAGAATACTTTATTTGTAAATAGTTTTGTCTTTATAAAAGTAATAAGTAAGATTTAATAAAAAATTTAATATATATAGAATAAATTTTGGTATCTATTAATTATAATTGGTATTTTACCTTTTAATATATTTTATTAAATAATATAATATTTTAAAAGAAAACTTTTTAAAAAACAATATATAAAAATAATTGTAATTCTTACTTTTAATTTAATATGTTACAAAAATGTGTTTGTTTTGTATACTTTAAACTGGAGACCTGGTGGTGTACTGGTTAAGAGCTTGGCTGCTAATCAAAAGGTTGGCAGTTTGAATCCACCAGCCGCTCTTTGGAAACTCTATGGGGCAGTTCTACTCTGTCCCATAGGGTCACTATGAGTCAGAATTAACTCAATGGCAATGTTTGGTTTTTATTTATACTGTAAATACAATTAGTTTTTTTAAGCCTTCAGATTACTTTGAGATGAAAACTAATTATATAAAAATATTGATTATAACAACAAAATTAATGATTTTGCTGAAACAAAGGCAAGAAAAATTAATTTTATGGAACAAATACATAATTTATAAGTTACGTATATATTACTCATTCAACTATCACCAACCCATCAAGAGAAGATCCAAACATATGTGGTAATAATTGAATTTAGTAGACTGGTATTTTGCTGACTTTCAGACCCTTAAAACCACAGCTTTCTCAAAACGACAGTGCGATACCACTGCACGCTTATTAGAATGTCTAAAATCCAAAACACTGACAACACCAAATGCTGGTAAGGATGTGGAGCAAAAGGAATTCTCATTCATTGCTGATGAGAGTGCAAAACGGTACAGCGCTTTGGAAGACAGTCTGGCAGCTTCTTACTTACTATCTGATCCAGCAATCACACTTCTAAATGAGATGAAAGCATATGTCCACATAAAATGCTGCACACAAATGTTTATAGCAGCTCTGTTCATATTTGCCAAAACTCAGATGTCTTTCAGTAGATGAATGAATAAGCAAACTGTGGTACATCCACACAATGGAGTATTATTCATTAATAAAAAGATATGAGTTGTCAAGCTGTGAAAAGATGTGGAGAAAACTTAAATGTATATTGATAAGTGAAAGAAGCCAATTCCAACTACCTGACACTCAGGAGAAGTCAAAACTATAGACAAAGTAAAAGATCAGTGGTTGCAGGAGGGAGTGGAGAGGAACAAATAGTTGGAGCACAGAGCATTTTTAGAACAGTGACATTATTCTGTAAAATACTGTAATGGGGAAGCTCCACAGACACATCCAAACTCCCTGAGGAACCGAATTGCTGGGCCAAGGCTGTGGGGACCATGGTCTCGGGTAACATCTAGCTCAATTGGTATAACATAGTTTATAAAGAAAATGTTCTACATTCTACCTTGGTGAGTAGTGTCTGGAGTCTTAAAAGCCTGTGAGTGCCTTCTAAGATACTCCACTTGTCTTACCCCTTTGGGAGCAAGGGAGAATGGAGAAAACAAGATACAAGGGAAAGATTGGTCCAAAGGACTAATGGACCACAACTACCACGGCCTCCACCAGACTGAGTTTGGTACAACTAGATGGTGCCCAGCTACCACCACTGACTGCTCTGACAAGGATCACAACAGAGGGTCCTGGACAGAGCTGGAGAAAAATGTACAACAAAATTCTAACTCACAAAAAAAGACCAGACTTACTGGCCTGACAAAGACTGGAGAAACCCCAAGAGTATGGCCCCCAAACACCCTTTTAGCTCAGTAATGAAGTCACTCCCGAGGTTCACCCTTCAGCCAAAGATTAGACAGGTCCATAAAACAAAACGAGAGTAATGGGGCACAACAGCCCAGGGACAAGGACTAGAAGGCAGTAGGGGACAGGAAAGCTGGTAATAGGGAACCAAGGTCAAGAAGGGAAGGTGTTGACGTGTCATGGGGTTGTTAACCAATGTCATAAAACAATATGTGTACTATTTAATGAGAAACTATTTGTTCTGTAAACCTTGATTTGAAGTACAATAAAAAAAAATCTAAAAATACTGTAATGGTGGGCACGTGACATTAAGCATTTGTCAAAACCCATAAAACTGTACAACACAAAGAGTGAATCCTAATGCAAATTATGGACTTTAGTTAATAAAATGTACCAATATTGGTTCATCAGTTACAACAAATGTACCGTAGGAATGCAAGAAGTTAATAATAGGAGAAACAGTGTGTGCGTGCGAGGGTGGCATATGGGAATTCTTTATAGTTTTCATATAATTTTTCTGAAAATCTAAAACTGCTCTAAAAAATAGTCTATTTAAAAAAAACATAGCTTTACACATATCCTTTGGTTTTGTCACAAGGGTATGTCAAGGTAAAAGGATAGAACATTTTTTATTGTTTTAAATTTTAAAACATTTTTAATTTTTTAATGTTATAACACAACATTAGCCAGTTTAGCATTTTTCATGTGTATAATTCATTGACATCAATTACATTAACCATGTTATGCAACCATTACCAATAAGAGGATAGAACATTTTATTTAGCAATTTGTTTGTTTCAGTGATAACTTT